TGCCTGAGGCTGCCCCACCATGGCTGCCTGCCTGAGGCTGCCCCACCATGGCTGCCTGCCTGAGGCTGCCCCACCATGGCTGCCTGCCTGAGGCTTTTCTGCATATGACCGTGTATCTGACCTTAAGGCTATGAACGTAAAATAAACCCACCCTTTCTTAGTGTTAACACAGAATCCACAAGCACTTCTGATTTTGCGATGACAAGGCTCAAAAAAATCCCAAATGGATTTGATTTCTTTCTTCCTTTTTTAAAGATCTTATTTCTTATTATTTTGGAAGATTGAGTTATTTCTGCATACAAGAACTAGGGTATATAGGCCAGAGGTGCAGGGGGTGAGTGACTGACATACCCTGCTGAGGGGAGGAGTGGACGTGGACAGGACAGGAGGTCTGCTGGGCCCTGTGGGTCAGCTGGGGGGGGGGGTCGAGTTGGTGCTGCAGTGGCTGCAGAGAGTTTCATAGTGCTGCGCTTTAACCCCTGCACCACCAGGAGGCCTGGACTTGATTTATCTCTCATTTTTTACTTCCTCCAAGTGTGGTTGCTCCCCAGGTTCCTAGCCCGCCCCCCGCCCCTGCCTCAGACCTTTAAGACCACAGACTGACATCGCAGTGCTCTCCTGGAAGACCTGGGCCTCACCAGAGCCGGTAGAATGTCCCTTCAGACTCCACTGGGTTTCCCGTCCCTTCTGTCAATCCTGCTGCCACCATGAATGTGAAGGGATCTGGAGGGAGTTGGTCAGTGAGCAGGGAGGAGTCTGACTGACTCAGGCCTCCTGGGTTTGGGGCTAATTTGCAATAGAGTGGAAACCAGCACCCACCCATGGCAGCATTGTGCAATCTCGGGGTGGTGGTGGGGATGATGGGGGTGTCAGGAGCCTGCTCTCACTCTCTTGTCAGTCTGGTCAGTCCGTCCTTCCCTCCCTTGGCTGGGCCTTCCTCCCCTCCCCCATCTGGCCCACACACTGCCTCTGGAGGGGCCGGAGGGCCTTCTTTTGGGCTGGGAGCCTTGCGCTGTGAACTCCCTGGTTTGGCTCCCCAGATGCAGAGCTGAGAGGCACCAAAATGGGCTACAGTCACTCTGAGCCCAGCTACTTTTTTTTTTAAGATTTATTTATTTCTGCATACAGAACTGGGGTACAGGCCAGAGGTGCAGGGGTGGCGAGAGGCTTCCCGAGAGACAGAGTGGGGAGCAGAACAGCCGAGTGATGAAGCACACTGCTGAGGGGAGCAGCGGGCGGGTCAGGAGAGGATTGGGGCCCGGCAACTTTTTCAAGAAGAAGACAGGAGCGTCTGTCCTGGCCCTCACCTGGAGCCCTAAGCCTCTGCTCTGGCTGCGGAGACGGGGCAGAGCTATGCTCCCTGGTCAGACCCTGCCCTTCTTCTCCTGCAGCTGGCCCGATCTCCAGCGCCCCCAGCCCCCTGCTGGCCTCCCTGCCCCTGCCCACCAGGCCTCTGCAGCCCCCACTGGACTTCAAGCACTTGCTCGCCTTCCACTTCAATGGCGCCCCGCTCAGTCTCTTCCCCAACTTCAGCACGGTATGGGGCAGGCGGGGCTGGTGGATGGGGGTATTGGCCAAACCGGGGTGGGGGGGGTTGGGTGGGGAAGGTGGGTTCAGAGGCCAGCTCTGAGAAGCTAGGTCTAACCCGGGGCTCATTCTCCTCCAACACCTCCCAGAATGTGGGAGCTCTCCAAACGGGGCTCTCCAAACGGGGACCCCTCCCCTAGTATAACAACTACTGGACCTGTAGAGCGTCCAGCTAGGGCGAGTGTCACTCAGGCATCACTCGAGCATTTGGGGGCTCTGGGGCTGCTCTGCGCCCGGCCAGGTGCAGGTGGGGTGCCCTTCTGTTTTAGCATGTGCCTCTCTAGGACTGTGAAATACTTGTGGATGGGAACGTGTGTTGTGTCTGTGACCAACTGGCTGTGCTGCCTATTTAATCTGGGTGTGTGGCTCGGACGTGTTTGGTGTGTCTCCCTGAGTGTGCGCGGGTCTGGGCAGACTGGATGGCTGTGTCTGTGGTCACATGTCGTTTGGGTGCGTGTGTGTGTGCAGTTTGTAACTGCCTGCAAGCGAGTGCACTCTGTGTGTTTCTGTGCGTGTGAACGTGGGAGGAGTCAAGTGCTGTGAGCGTCCTACTTCGTGACAGGAGCTATGAGGAATGGCCCCTTTCTTTTAATTTTGAAAATCCAAATGGAATCACTGACAACAATGGTGGGAACTTCCATCTCAATCACTTTCCAGGGCTGTGGAGGCCAGACGACCCTGGGTCCTGGGGGCCCGCTGGCCATCGGCCCTCCTGACCCTTCCTCATTGCTCAGGCAGGTCAAGGCGAGGCCACTGTTCTATCACCAGGGCACCGCAGGCCACTCCCGGAGGGGGTCCCCCTGCACTCACTGTCCCTGGGTAGAGCCTCTTTTTGCTTTTGGAATTCTCTGAGGCCATGCTTTTCTCCCAAGGCGTGTCTTCTCAGGAAGGTTTGACAAGTTCCCTCCCCTTGACAAGCAAGTCCAAGCAGCTTCGGCTCTGGGCCAGCGACTCAGGACCAGGGGACATAAAGATTTGGTTTGAGAGAGGAAAAAATGTCGAAAATAAGGAAAATGAAAATCACACCGGTTAAGGTTTCAAAGCTAGATCTTCCTATTCAGGCCTCCATGGCTGCCCAGCTCCCGCTCCCCCAGCCTGGCAGGCCTGACCCAGAGAGCGGATAGGCCAAGCCTGGGGGCCCAGCCCACAGACCCAGCACAAAGGCTGGGTTATGGGCCAGGTCATTCCAACAGAGGGCTTCCTTGTCCCTCCGCTACCTCTCCCTGGCCCTTCTATCTCATTAGTTGTGATTCTTGGGAAAAAGGAAAACAATCAAAAAGCAGACGGGAGCAGCCAAAGCTGCCCGGGCCATCCGCAGCACGTGGCTCTGCTCTCTAGGTCTGGAGGCTGCCCTGGCCAGCCCCAGCAGCATCCAGACTGACAGATCAAGTTGGCCAGGGACGAGGCCGAGTCTTACTCCATGGCCGACAGCTGCAGAAGGGCAGGCTCTTCCAGGGGGCTGACCACTGCCCACCCACCCCCAATCTTTAGTTGTGGGTATTTTGTCCTGCCCCCACCTCTGCTTTCCCAAGCTGACCCCAGAGTTACTGTGCCCTCCCGCCCCCTTCGCAGATGGACCCAGTGCAGAAAGCCGTCATCAGCCACACATTTGGGGTCCCCTCCCCTCTGAAGAAGAAGCTCTTCATTTCCTGTAACATCTGTCACCTGCGCTTCAACTCAGCGGTGAGAGTTAGTGGACAGTGGCTGGACAGTGGCTGGGCACTGGGCTGCCAGGGTCTTTCCTGGAGCAATGGCCGGGGGTGGCGGCTGAGGGTCAGTGGTCTGTATTTTCTGTCCTTGGTTGCAAAAGAGGCACTTGTGTTCCTTTACACCATCCTCTTCTCTGTCCAGATTTCTCTGCCCCTTCCATCTCTAGTCCCCCTGGGGTTCCACATTCCTCCTCTATGTCTCTCTCCTGTCTTCTGGATCTTTCCACAAGAGAGAAAACTTCCCCACTCTGGGTGACAGGGGCCACCTCATCAGCTCCTGGTCCAGAGCTGAATTCTTAAAGCCTCTGAGTGTACAGTATGTGTTTGTGCCCTTCATTAATTAATCCTCATGGTTAATCTGAGGTGGCCAGAGGTGCTATTATCACCCCCATTTCAGGTGAGAACTGAGCCTCAGACAGGTTAAGGGACTCACCTGAGTCCACACAGCTGGTAAGTAGCAGAGCTGGGATTTGCACCCAGGCCTAGCTGACCCTGAGAACCATATTCTTTCTAGACCATTCTTCTCCTCAGTAGTAAAGGAGCCATATTCTGGCACCCAGGAAGGTTCGCCTTCTGTTCAGGCAACTGTGGGGTTTGGGGAGATGCTCTCAGCAGGCTAGGGATCCTTGGTTGAAGAAGAGAGGACCCGTTCAGGCTGGGCTTGGGGAACCCCTCCAGGCTTCAGGGGCAGATGGATGGAGGGAATACATCTTGCGATGCTGGGCCCAGGCCAGTGCCTGGCAGTCTCCATAACTATTTGCTAACAGACCAGAGAGGGGTGAATGTTTTGGGGGTACACACGCCAAAGTAAAAAGATGGCTCTTCTGTGTGCGCATTTGTACATGTATAGATTTCGCTGAGCACGTTCTTCTCACAACTCTGTGGGCTCAGTACAATCAGCACAAAGGGAGAAACTAAGGCTCAGAGAGGGACTCCAGTTGCCCACAGCTAGGAAGACGCCAAGTCAGAATGTAAAGCCAGAAGCTACTTACCTGGGAGCTTGTGCACATCTGAGGGCGTGGTCTCTACACCTGAGCACCACCAGCACATGGTGACTGGTGTGACAAGGAGTCTCCCTGAGGGCCCAAGCCCAGCCCCGCGCCAGCTCTTGGATGGGGCATGTGGACTCAGCGAGTGAGTGGTGACCCATGTCCTACCCTCTCCAGAACCAGGCTGAAGCACATTATAAAGGCCACAAACATGCCAGAAAACTGAAGGCCGTGGAAGCCGCCAAGAGCAAGCAGAGGCCACAGAGGCCGGCCCAGGGCGGAACACTGGCGTCCCCAGCCCCAACTCTGGCTGGTGGAGAACCCGAACCCGCAGAGCCTCAGAGCAAAGGTCAGTCCTCCAGACTCTCCGTCCGGGGTCCGGTTTCTGACAGACGCTGCTATGATTATTTTGGCTTGTGTCGAAGGAGCAAACACGAGAGAAAGGCCTCCACCACAGTGCAGGGCTCAGTACCTTTCCCAGGTCAAGAAACATGTCATACCATGGCACCCCATCATTTCCTAGGGCTACCTGGCAAGTGGCCAGGGACTGGGGGACTTAAACAGCAGAAATTTGTTATCTCTCAGTTCTGGAGGTAAGAAACTAAGCCCAACGTGCTGACGAGTTTGGTTCCTTTATGGGGGCTCATGTCTTACCTCTAGGAGCTTGTGGCTTCTGGCGGTGGCAGTCCCTGACGTGTGATGCATCGCCCCAGGCACCTTCTGGGTCTGGGTGTTTTTATCAGTCTTCTTACAAGGACAGCCTTCGTGGCATTAGGGCCACCCTAGCCAGCGTCACCTCTTCTTGACAGGTCACATCTGCCAAGACCCTGTTTCCAAATCAGGTCACATTCTGAGACTCCTGATGGACATGAATTTTGGGCAGACACTATTCAAACACCTCCACCCTCCCCTCTGGGGTCACTATGTTCTTGAGTCTTGTTAGTCTAAGACCAGTTTGGTTTTTGTGCCGGAACATTCATTGTAAGATTCTTCCATGTTGTTGCAGGTAGCTGTAGTTTGTCCTTCGGCGTTGCTGTTTGGTGCTCCATTGCGTGATCACACAACTGTCTGTCTGTCTGTCTTTTCTCCTGTCATGGATATTTGGATAGCTTCCAGTTTTATGGATATAGTGCTTTTAGAACATTCTGGAACATTTTTGGTGATTTCCACTTATGCAGTCAGCTAACAACTATAGCGTCTCAGGGCTGTGAGTGCTTTCTCAGATGACTCTTTCCAGCTTTATGATTTCAGATGGGGAAACTGAGGCCAAAGAGTCCCACGTCTTCCCAGTGAGTTGGCGGGAGAGTGGGGTCTGGTTCCAGCTCTGGGCATCCCTACTCAGACCCTCCATTCTGCCGTGCCGCCTCCATGACGTCAGTGCTCACCAGCAGGCCAGGTCAGGCCAGGTCATCTGCAGCTGGGCTCACAGCTGCCTCCTCTCTCTCCAGCTGCACCTGCCGCCCCGCCCCCCGGCCCCTCCCTCCAGCCGGCTCTGACTCCCGCCGCAGCGCCCCGGGAACCAGCCCACCCAGACCTCCTGGATGCTGCCTCATCTTCTTCGTCATCCTCTCCTTCCTCCTGCCCACCCTGCTCCCCAGAGCCTGGGTCGGAGGTGCCAGAGCCGGAGCCGCTAGCGGCTGCCGTGGGAAGCAGTGTGAGCGGGGAAGGCCGGGGTGACAAGGGGCGTCTCTACTGCCCCACATGTAAGGTGACCGTGAATTCCACCTCCCAGCTTCAGGCTCACAACACAGGTCAGTGGCCAGGTCACAACACAGGTCAGGGGAAGCGGGGGTGGCCGCTGAGAGTTCTGGGCACTTTGTTTCAGGGCTCAGAGGTATTGTGCTCAGCTGTCAGCCAGGATGTCAGGTTCTCCCACTAATGCCCAGGAGGGTGGATTGGAAGGAGGAGTCTGAGGCTGTCAAACTGAGGGTCCCTCCCCTTTCCCAGGGCTGCTGCGGGGTAGACCTGGTAAATGTGCATCAGTGCCTGAACTGGGAGAGGGAGAGCTAGCTGAGGTGGTGGGGGAGTTGGGGGACCATCTCTCCTTAGGTCAGATACACAAGGGCCGGAGGCCGCAGTGTTGATGCAAGAAGGCCTCCCCGCAGGAGCTTGGCGCAAATTGAGAGCAGCTGGGGTAGGAGAGCCTGGCAGTGGGAAAGTGAAATCTCCTGTGGCCTGAGGGGTCAGCTGTGCGGGCAGCCTGGAGGCTTAAAGGGACCACCAGACTGACCTCGCCGAGCACCCTCTGTGGCCCCGGCTGCCCCCAGTTGGTGCTGACTTCTTCCTTCCCCCCAGGAGCCAAGCATCGGTGGATGGTGGAAGGTCAGCGAGGAGCTCCCCGAAGGGGCCAGGGCCGCCTGGTACCCCAGGGAGGAGCTGGACACAAGGCCAAAAGAGTGTCTGGGGGCCGGGGGAGCAGGCAGGGGCCCAGCCCCACTTTCCACTGTGCTCTCTGTCAGCTCCAGGTCAATTCAGAGACCCAACTCAAGCAGGTGGGAAAAAGAAGCGGCTGGGCTCAGGGTTGGAACAGGGGAGAGGGAGGACCAGGGCCAGGCGAGGGAAGAGGAGGAGGAGAGAAGGTGGGTGGAGCAGAGCCCCTGAGCAGGGTAAAGGCAGAGAAACAAGTGTGACTGAACAGTGGGGCTCTGTGGGGCAGAGGCCATCGTCCCTCCCCTTTCCCAGGGCTGCAGGGTAGACCTGGGAAATGTGCATCAGTGCCTGAACTGGGAGAGGAAGGGCGACTAGCTGGCGATGGGGGGGTGGTTGGGGCTCCTTGGGCTCCCTCACCTTGTTCCCAGTCTGTCTGTCTGTCTGTCCATTAGCACATGAGCAGCAGGAGGCACAAAGACCGCCTGGCGGGGAAGTCCCCCAAGCCCTCCAGCCAGCACAGCAAGCTGCAGAAGCACGCAGCGCTGGCTGTGAGTATCCTCAAGGTATCTGTCTACAGGCAACAAAGCAGGGGTGAGGGTGGCCCAGAAGGGAGGAACCGCCAGGGGGTGGACAGGAAGGAAGCCACACATCCCTGCCCCCAGGCTGTCTGGGCAGAGGTGCCAGGGAGATGGGTGTTTGGCCGTCGTAGGGTCCACCCAGAGGAATTTCCGGGCAGGTGGGCTGGGGTGGTCATCTCCTAGAGACCACAATCTGCTGCCAACCCCCACAGCCTTTGCTCATCCTGACTCTCCTCCCTCGGGCCAGGAAGACAGGTGGTGGAGAAAGCCTTTTGGAATGGATGTTTGGGCGTGGGGAGAGGATTTAGGTTTGGAACTCTAAATGGCACGTTTTTCCTGCAGCAAAATCCCAAGGGCAGTGCCCATGGAGGGACTGGGATATTTGTGGGGTCAGATACTGTGTCCATTCCTCTCTCTTCTTTGTAGTCTAAACTGGCCTTGCAGAAGCAGCTCACCAAGACGCTGGCCGCCCGCTTCCTGCCCAGTCCGATTCCCACTGCGGCCGCTGCCATCTGTGCCCTGCCCGGGCCCTTGGCCCTCCGGCCTGCCCCTGCAGCAGCCACCACCCTCTTCCCGGCTCCCATCCTGGGCCCAGCTCTGTTTCGCACCCCGACTGGAGCCGTCCGTCCCGCCACGGGACCCATAGTGTTTGCTCCCTACTAGCTGCCCAGAGCCCAGGGCTGGCTTCCCAGCAGCGCTTGGCTGGTTGGTGCCTGAGGCCTGGGCCCCGCCCCCACAGGGACTGCTGTCCACAGCCTAAGGGCTCTGTTCCAGCCAGAAGGGGCTGTTTGAGGACAGCTGCCCTTCATCTGTCGAGACTGGGGATCCAGGTAATCCCCCCGGTCCAAGGACCATTCCCACCTCCCAGGACTTCCTAAGGACACCTTAGACTCCCCTGCACTTCCCAGCCTGATTTATGGGAAATAAACGGATGAATCCCAAAGATTTATGCAAAACCACCAGGCCCTGTGGTGCTCATTTCCCCCAGCCAGGACCTTTATCCACGCGGCCAAACACCCTAGGGGCCTCAGCTAGCCGGGGACAACTCCGTGGCCGCTACTCCAGTGCCCCGGGAAATGGTCGCCCCTTGCTGGATTCTCTGGACAGTTGCGGAGGGGCTCCCGGCCCAGCTGTACAAAGTGACCACGTGGAGGAGAAAGGAAGTGTCAAGGTGCGGGGAGGTGGCTGCTTTGGGGCCTCATGCTGATGGGTGCAGCTAGCAGAGGGACATCTGATCGCCCCACTCTCACGGAACCAGTCCCATAAAAGCTCTCCTAGTCCTCCTGAACCCCAGCTCTCAGCAGAGCACCGGGTCTCCCTCGGACTATGGCTCTAGCTGACACCGAATCCCCCAGAATGCCCAAATGCAGAGCCTCCCCTGCAGCTCCCTGTCCCAAGAGGGTCCCTAGCACCATTCAGCTTTCCCTCCTCCCAAGCAGCACCCCAAGCTCCAGCTCACTGTAGAGCTGAGTCTTGGGACCTCTTTAAAGATCCACTTTCACGCTGTCAAAATCGATGGCACCATCTCCATCCCACCCAACACTGCCCCCCTCACCCTCATAATGGGACTTTGCCAGTATCCACCTGTTTTTTTGTTTTTTTTAAAGATATTCCCAATGAATGAACATGGAAAAAGGGAGAAGGGTGGGGAAATTTTTGATAATAGTTGTGGTTTTATTGTGTCTGATGAGTCAATAAATGAACTTAAACCTGAGCCTATGGCCTTACTCGACCTGCCCAGCCCTGGCCGCCCCTCTGCTCACCACGCCCGTTTTGGGGAGAAGAGGCGTGCATGGGTGGTGGCTGCCAGAGCTGTCTCAGCTCTAGCTGTGCACGACAGGGAAGCACGTGAGCACGGGGAGTGTGGGCCCTGAGCTCACCCGACAGCACGCTGAGCGTGACCGCCCTACTGTGCCCTGACAGATCTGTGGGTGCCTGAGAAGCTGCTACTGGTTTGCCTTGTTCTGTTCAGGCATCTGAGGTAGGGAAGGGCTAGAGGAGCACCTTGTCCAGCCTTCACCAGGCAGCAAGCTAATTTATAACTGGTAATTTACAAGCAGAAGGCCAAGGATTGGCTGAAAACCACCACAGGAAGGGGTGAAGCCCAACCCCACCAGGGTGAGGTTCCCTAGAGAGGGTAGTGCACTCCTGCCCCCTGGTGGACGGGGGAGAGAGTGCCCCAGCCTCCAGGGCAGTAGCCTTAGCACCTTGAATGGGGAGAGGGGAGCCGCAAAGGATAAGGTCATCTGATCTGGATCATAGCCAGCCGGGAGCCAAAACATTATAAAATTATAGGACTAGAACGGCTCCAGAAGGTCACCTAAACAATTCCCGTCACTTTACAGGTGAGGAAACTGAAGCCCAGAGACAGGAAAGGCCTTGGTGGGCCACAAAGGCAGGTGGTGACTCAAGGCCCAGGTCTGGTTCCGTTCCACCTCAACCAATGAGGCCATGTGTTCTCTGAGCAGGAGAAACAACTGGGAGAAGAGGTAAAAGAGAACCTCACTTCCCAGCCAGCTTCTTAGGGTGCAGGACAGGACAGGAGAAAGGTCAGTAACATGGACACTTGAGTACATCTACACACACGGCACCCGAGCACCCCCTCTCCAGACTCCAAGCTGGTGCCACTGATGGGAGGGGGGCACAGGACCCCTGTGATAGAAACTGGGCCCTACGGTGGGCACTTCTGCATGGCACCTCTGCTTCCCACTGGGCAGGTGGCAGGGACACTAACCCCATATGCCCCATGTCACAGCAGGGGAGAGATGATGAAAGCAGGGTAGGTGGGGTGGGATGGGGGCTAACCTGGGTTATCTGCACTTCCTGGAGCTAGGAGGGAGCGGATGTGGCCCCAGCCTGGGACAGCCCAGCAGCCTGACCTATTGGGGCACTCCCCTACTAACTGAGGACAGCTTGCCTAACCCCCTTCCTGGAGTGGGAACGGGGCTGGCAAGGTGAAGAAGGGACGCAGTCTTCAGCCATCCAAGGAGCCACTGCCCTTGTTCTTGCGGCTGAGGGGGAAGGCAGACTTGCTCTGCGGCTGGGTCATCTTGCTGGCCAGGTAGATGAAGGGCTCCAGGAGGGATCGGCGGTCAGCCACGGACACCTCCCACAGCTTCACCTTCTCTGACTTGGCCCAATGCTGAGCCACATCTGGGTCCACGCGCCGCTGCTCCTGCAGGTCACACTTGTTGCCAAGGACCACGATGGTGACCTGGGGAGAGGACAGAGGTCAGTGGCTATACCAAAGGCTTCGGGGATGGTGACCACCTAGGCGTCCTAGAAAGCAAGCCTCCATGGCTGAGGTCTCATCCCTCCCTACCGTAGAAATCATGGACTGAGGGGAAAGTGGAAGCTGCTTTTTCTTCTTCTCATTTCCAATTGTGAGCTCAAGCTGACCTTCCTCCAGGAGTTCCATGCTCTTTCCAGCTGTCAATTTCTGACTAAACAACTGTTGAGGAAGCTTCCTCTGAATGCCTGCAGCCTAACGGGGGGTTTAAGAACAGAAGGGCCTTCATAGCTATGAGAACAGGACACTTAGAAAGAGACACCAGTAGTGGCTTCAAGCCTTAGGCCAAGGTCTTCTTAAACTGAAGTCTTCTGAACTGAGTTGCCTCCAGATGCGGCCACCTGGAGGGGGCAAGACACTCCAGTGGCCTCTACCCCCTCTCTAGCGCCTAATCCACTTCCTAACAAAATGGAAAAACAGCCACACCAGGCCTCTCGCTAGCTCCCGGCCCCCTCACTCATCAGCCAGGTTCCCACACAGACCTCCTTCTTGTCCTTGGATTTGTCGATCTCCTTCTTAAGCAGTTCCACTCGCTGAAAGGACTCTCGGCTGTCCGTGCTGTAGACCAGAACGTAGCCGTCAGTGCAGGAGAAGCAGTGTCGGGGCAGCTCCGCCCCGTCTCGGAGCCCCCGGGTGTCGTAGAAACGCACCTGCTCCCGGACCCCCCGGTCCGTCTCTATGGAGCCCACATAGATGTCTTCCTGCGTTTCAATCATCTCAGAACCTGGGGGTAAAATGGGAAAGCTTGTTTGTAGGGCAGAGGGAGATGGGCGGATGCTAACAGGCAGGAAGAGAAAGGAATATGGGGGCTGAGGAGAGGGAGTCAGAGCCTGGGAATCTGGCCGGGTGGGAATGACTGTGGGGGAACTGGTTAACCTGATGCTAATGCCGTGCTAAGTGTGGCCAGGAAGCTTTTCCTCCCTATCTCAGTTACTGCTTCCTCCTTCCACATTAGTTCAGAATTGCTAGAGGATGGGGAATTATGATGTACTTTTATTCTTTGGGGTGCAGTGATGACCAAAAGCAGCTTTTTTTTAGCTTTTGCACAATATCATGAAAGCCTCTATCTTCTTCCCCAAGTCTTGCCACCAACCCCATGGCCCCCAAGGACACTCACCTACGACATGGTTCCCGTATAGAAGCTGCTCCAGGATTGAGGTTTTGCCCACCGATGCCTGGCCACACACGACCACCTTGCAGCTCTTCCCCATGCTTAGCCTCCAGCCTGGAGGAACAGGAGCTCATGGGGTGAGGTGAAAACAGAGCCAACCTCCCAGAACTGAAGAGCTCCAATTCTGACCTGACCAGTCGCTTTGGGAATTCTGCACTACTGGAGTATGGGTGCACCAAATTGATGTGTCTGCATCCACTACTGGGCAGTGAGGTGACATTATTCATCTTTGTTAATTTCAGAACATGGCCCATTGCGCATGCTCAGGAAATGTTGCCTCACACAGGGAAGAGTCCCTGGTTTAAGGGAACCACTGGCGGGATTCCCTTCTGTGCACAGCACATAACAAAGGACTCAGCCGCTTCTCTGTAACCATGATACCGCTCATGTATGTTAAACCACTCTTCCTTGGGGCAGCAAGTGAATAAAGAAGATACATGGCTTTCTTATATGACAATGTGTCAATTCCTTCTAATTCCTAGTCAAGTCTATGGGTAAGATAAAGAACATCAAACAGGGAAGGAGCGAATCTTAAGCAAAGGCTTTGGAACACCATCTTTGCGGCCCTTGGACTGACAGACGCAGATGAGAAGCCTCACACACACACCTCCTGTCCAAGGAGGTCCCAGACAGCTCCCTCAACGCACCACCAGGAGTAGACCCAGGCAAAAGTTCCCCCCGAAAGCAGAGACAATCCTCCCCAAATGGGGTCCCAAACAGAGGTCCCTCTGCAGAAAGAACTCTTGATACAGGCCACCCTCCCCTTCTCCCGAGGGGCCCTTGAGGGTCAGCATCCGGAACAGGAGCTAGTCCAAGAGAGACAAGAGCCAGAGGGGCCTCGGCCACCGACTGTCCCACAAGGGGCCCCCAGAGGGAATCAGAGACCGGCCACCGGGCAGCCCGGACGCGGTGGCCCACCCAGCTTCCCAGCTCCGTACCTCCCGGGCCCCTGGCAGCACCCGGGCCGGGACCTGGAGGCGCGGCCGGACCCGGGGAGACAGCGCAGACTGCAGAACTCCGCTCCGCTCCAGGGCCGAACCAGGCCCCGCTCCGCCCCGCCCCCCAGCTTCCGTCTGGGAAGTGGAATTCCGACGGCGGAGAGCGGGCGCCGGCCGCACAGCGCCCCCAGAGGCCGGCGGGGGGGTGGCGGTCGAGGTCTGCGCGCCGGGGTTAACACTCCTTGCACCCGGGGTGCTGTTCTTCCTGGTGTCTCTGATACCCAAAAACTCTTTCTCGAAAGGCTACCGTAGCACAGTCACACTTCGCTTATTTGTCAACTGTCTTCCGAGCACCTGCTCCGTGCCAGGTACAGGACCATGTGCTGGGAAAAAGCGGACGGATGAGATCCTATAGAATGTCGCCGACTGGAGGAGCTCGACATCTAAGCCAGCAATTTCACAACAGCATGGTAAGAACTACTGCAGACGTGTTATTGCAGGAAGCCCAGCAAAGCATTTAACTTGGGGGTAGCAGCATGCCTTCCTGGAGGAGGGCATGTTTGTGTTGAGGTTTGAAGGGTTAACGAGGAGAGGGTGGAGCCAAGGCAAATGCCTTGGTGTTTTCTGGAGCCACAATATTGATGCTAGCAAGACCAAATAATCAAAGGCTTTGAGTGGTAGGCTAAAGAGTTCAAACTGTATCCTAACTGCAGCAAAAAGCCATCGACAGATTGTACAATAAAGTGATGTCAGTTTTTACTCTCAAGACGGCCACTCTGGCAGAAGGGTGAAGTTTGGAGATGTGAGATGGGGGTTAGCTAAGAGACTAAAGTAGTATTGCAATTTTTTTTTTTTTTAAGATGAGAGCCTGAATTGGGAGGGGAGATGGATTACGGAGACATTTAGTAGGATAAGCAACAAGTATTGGTGATAAAGTGGAAGTCAGGAGTAAGAAGAGGGAGGAATTCATGTTTCCTACCTATCTCATTCTGTGACCAGCTGAATAGGGAATCTTTTTAACAATGTAAGAGAAGCACCTATTGGTGAGGGGTGGGGAAGTCATCACACATTCAAGAGATATCCAGGAGAAAGCTGGATAGATAGATCTGGAACTCAGAAGAGAGATCTAGGTTGAAGATAGCAAACAGAGTTGAGAGTCAACAACATTGATGTTGTGGGAGTTGATTAGTTGGCTTGATGCAGAGAAGTGGGAAGCTGGTTTAAGACAGGTGGGCCTCCTGACCCAGACTGTACACTGGGAGACACTGGCAGGCAGGGCCAGTGGTGTGTGAGTCTGTGCCCTCCCAATCTAGCAGAGTGGGCACTTTGGAAAGAGCTATTGAAAGATAGGCTGGATGAATATCCTACCTCTTACAAAGCACTGAGCTGCTTGCTACTGTCCTCCACCCACTGGTGGGTGGTGGTTCAGCTCCCCCAGCAGTGTGACCGATAGGGACCATACGAGCAGCTTATTGACAATGCCACAGTGTTTTTCTGGAGAAAGAATAAATCCGTTTTAAACTTCCTGTTCCCTTCTTCATTTAGTTTCCCCTGAGTTTTAAAAAGTTCATCTCAAGCTAACCCCAGAAAGAGCCACTTTAATTCAAGCCAACACTTGTTATTGGTTTGGTGAGGGAAGTACTATAAAGATGATTAAGTTGTATCTTTGCCATCTATTAGGTCCCCATCCAGACAGCATTCGGCAAGAGAAGCGTGCTGAACAGGGAGTTTATATGAGGGGCGGGAATACTGGGGACACTGGAGCAGGACCTCACCCCATGAGCTGCCTTATAAACTCCAGGGCAGGGTCTGAGGCATCGTGCCACCCTCCCTAGGCTTAATGCTGAGATGGCATTCCCAGGAGGCTGACATGAAAGCAGCCTCATAAAAGGACCAGCGTCATTAGGGTGATGAACCAGTTGGTGCTTGGAGATCCAGAAGGGATGAAAGGCGGGGGTGAAGACGCCCTGCGTTCCCCTCGCTTGGTTGGGCAGGGCTTCCAGGGCCGATGAAAGCTGGGGGAACTGGGCTCAAAGTGTCTCTTCTGGTCTTTCCCGAGAGGAAGCTGTGGACATACTTCAAGGTCGGAGGGTAGTAGTGGGAGCGCTTTCCTTCCAGAGACCTGGGTCACCGGGATCTCGGGCAACCCAGACTCCCCTTAGCCTTACGGAAGACGCGCTAGGCTTGGAAGTTGCTATGGCAACGAGGCTCTCGGACTACTGAGGAAAGCCAAGGCCTAGAGAGGCAACAGCCACCTGTACCCGCTTCCGACCCACGGGTAAAGTGGCGCCCCCTTCGCACAGGAACCGTCCCTGGGCCTCCGCCCTGACGCGGAGACCACCGTGGACCTCCGGGGACGGGCGGCCGCTCTGGCCCCAAGCGGAGCCTCTCGCTGGTAGACGGGCTCGAGGGAGCCACTCTGGGCGCAGCTCCGCCGAGCTGCTCGATGCTCCGACCGGAAGTGCTCTTCACCGCCTGCCTCCCACCCGGCTCTCTGGTCCCGGCGGTAAGATGGCGGCTGCCGCGGAGTGCGATGTGGTAATGGCGGCGACCGAGCCTGAGCTACCCGACGACGACGAAGCGAAGAGGTAAACGGGTTGTCAGGGTAGTGGAAGGTCAGCTTCAGCTCCATGGCTCAGGGAAGTCCGCCCCTGCCATGATGCATCCCCTGGGTGTTGCGGCCATGCCCCGCCCTCCGAAAATACCCCCCCCCCGACTCCCCCACACACCTGAGATAAAGTCCGGATGGACCCCCTGAAGGGGCGCTCTCTGAGGTCCGCCCTCCCTTCCCGCTTCCGCCTGGCTGAGGCGCTCAGTCCTTCCTTGCGGAGGAAGGTCGTCCTAATTGTAAAGGCCAGGTCTCTGAGGGCAGCGCAGAGGTCTGTTGCGGGATGGGGGAGGCGGCGCGGCGTCGTTGACGACTTCCTTCCAACGCCCCCGACCCCCGCCTCCTCTGGCCAACTTCTGTGCTTTGTGGCTGTCAGCACTTTGCGTCTCCAAAGCCCTTGCCCTTCTCTCCTTTCCGTGGTAATCACACCCCTGACACCACTAGTCTCGATCCAAGCTGATTCTTGTCATTTGACCTGGTTGCACCCCGGTTACCCCAGAAGTCGAGGATTATGATTGTCATTGAAGGAAGAATGGTGTGTGTGTGTGTGTGTGTGTGTGTGTGTG